ATAATTACGGGTTCACTGATCTATCGTTAGGAGATGCCCCTCCTAACAGGGCGATCGTTTCGTATATGGGACATACCCTGTGTCGTGACTTCGGTGTTGGTAATCTCTGAGGGCAGCTTTCATTTACGAAGATGAAATCCCAAGTGTGTGATATTTGACGTGACCGCACTGAAACAACCTTGCGTTTGCATACAAGAAACTTTCTCTGCTCACAATGATGAGTTAGGGAACATGTGTATTGGGTGTGAGCTTGTTCCGACCGGTGAAAGGTCGGTCACTATTGGTTTTTTAAGTTTCGCATTGACGAACTAATTCGTGTCAGATTCGGGAATCCCGCCATTTCCTCCCTACTCATCTATTTTTAGGTAAAGTGTGGGGCGTGCCCAGCAGTTTCGTTAGCTAGATGAGTAGTATTGTCCGAACAGTCGTCGAGACGCAGTTCGGTTAAATTGCTACTGTCGTGCGTTTGTCTAGGGGACGCTACTTTGATCCGGAGTTCGGAAGGTAAGCTGTTGCGGCTCGCATATCAGCGCTGTCAAAACCTTGTCGACATCTGTCTGGATTGAAGCATCATCTTCACAGTCATCGAGCCACATCTATGTGAATTGCTGATATACATAGCCCCGAGATCGATTGCGCTGTGAGGTTTCCTAAGGAATGGGTCGTGCGAATATCGCGCCACCGATCCTGCTGGTGGGTGGCAGTTTCGCGCTTATCATGTCCCCCGGCCTCGGAAACACGTGTGTCAGGATGGTCTTGGAAACGGATTCCTTCCGGTATTCTTCTATGTCGTGCTTCGTCTGGTTGCGCTTGCTTCACCGAAAATCCAGGAGGATGCGAATGGAACATGTGCCATTCAGTGTGAGAGCAGCCCACAATAGAACCGTTTCTGTTTCATCTTCGGAAGTCAGCACAACTCAGTCTCACTTTAATGTACTGCTTCGAGTTTGCGTGAAGGGCTACCCATGTCAAGTTGACGGGCACAGCTAAAACACCTAGGATGTCGCATATGGAGTTCCACTGATTCATAACATAGAGTTGCTTTCTTTTTTATGTATCGGACTTCGATACTGGTATGATGGCACGAATTACTGATGGTGCATCGTGGGATCTTTTAATGACCATCTGTGTAGCCTGGGTTGAGACCGACTAAACAGCTGGTCTGCATACATCCGGTGGAGGGTGTGTAAGCACATGTTGGCCTTCCTCATTTATTTTGGAACCAGTGCTGCTATCGGCAGCAACCGCGTTTCAATCGGCACACCTGTCAAGGCCTTCTGGGAGTTCAGGATAATTTGTAGGGTAGACGCGGCCCTGGAAGTACTTATGCCAATCTGACTGGCGGTGATTGGTTCAAGTGTAGCTGGGCCACTTGTAGTGATGATGCAGTCTGTGACGTTCGGAGGTAGTGCGCTGTTCATCGTCATTTCTCTGTTTCGAAGCGGAGCCTATTAGGGAGAAATGAAGCCTATTCCCAGTCGCGCAATTTATGTGAAGCAATTCTGATATTCCTCATTGATTCAATCGTCGTGATCATTCTTCCGCAAATCTGAAATAGTCTATGAGCAGTCGTGACCAGTGGGATGAGCATCGTTATACACGTTAGCTAGAGCTGGAAAACACCTCAGCTACTGTGCCGCAATACAAAAAACGATAGGAAAATGAATACAACAGTCGCATGCCAGCTGAGCTACCAGCAATAGATGGGCATCGTTCTGGTAACCTACCAGCCGGCTACTAGGCAACAAGAAAAATTATTATGTAAAATTATGTTACGCTACGAAATGAGATCATGGTTGGAGGGGAGGCTAAAAGGGATGGGGAGAGACAAAGAAACTCACAGCAAGAACGCCACTGAGGTCGGTTTCTTGTCATGTCAGCAACTGTATCTAGTCAAATGTGTTAATCGTCTTTTGGACCCAAACCAGGGAGCCGTGACGCTCCAACCGGGGCCAGCTCCGAAGTGAGGGCCTTCATTCCTCTCAACCAAGTTATCGCTTGGCAACCCCTACTCTTCTTCCATCTACACTCCCGGTGAGCAAACAACGCACGTCGCGGAAGTCGGTAGGCTGGCATGCGTAACACGTGGCCGAGCCATCGGAGCCTAGTTCCTGAAACGACGATGTTGAGCGGTTCAGTTACTTTTCCTGGGCCGTAAACAAGGCGTCGAACACGCTCGTTGCTAACTCGGTGTTCCCACGAGATGTGAGCTAAATTGCCACGGCACCGGTGGTCGAACGTAACTAGCCTCTTTATGTCTGCTGATCTAAGTGGCCAGGTTTCACAACCGTACAGTAGGGTCGAACCTACCGCTGCATTGTACACTCTACCCTTCAGGGCGAGAGTGATGTCGCGTCGCCGCCATAGGTGGCGAAGGTTAGCAAAAGCGCCTCGAGCTTTTGCTATACGGTTCGTGATCTCATCTTCAATCCCAAGGGCGCTGATACAACTTCGCAGGTAGTTGAATTTCTGAAGGACTTCTAGCTGATCCGAACCAAGGGTCAGCGCAGAAGGCGATCCCTGCCAATCTTGGAGGAAAGCTTTGCACTGCGATGGTGCAAAGCGAAATCCGAAGCGCCTGACAGCCAGTGCTAATCTGTCCAGCGCGGCTTGGCACGTCTGAAAGCTGTCACAGATGAGGGCATTGTCGTCTACCTACTCTGAATCAAGAAGTCGTTCTCCTGGGAGTAGCTCTACACCTTTCAAGTCATGTCCTGCAAATACAATCTTCCCGACTTCGTTAATGGCGAAGTTGAAGAGGATAGGTGACAACGGGCATCCTTGTCTCACACCGCTGGAGATATTGAAGGCCAGCGACAGCTTGCCGTAAGCCCTCACTCTCTCCGTGCTACGCGTGTATAATGCTCGGATAATATTCACATATCTCTTGGGCACACCTTTCCTGAGTAGACAATTCCAAAGATCACATTGATCAACCGAATCGAAGGCATTTTGCTGTCGAGGAACACGACTACAGTGGGTAGTCAATATGTGTGACGGTGTTCCAACTGACGCAAGGCGAAGAAGTGGTCGATGCAGCCACCACCCCATGAAACCCGGCTTGCTGCTCACGAATCTGGCTTTCACGAGTACCAGTCAGTCTGTGAAGAATTATGGAGTCGATTGAGATAAGACTGATTCCTCTATGGTTGACGCATTCCGAACGCCAGCCTCCTTTGCAGATGAGAACAATAAGGGAGCGGCTCTAGTCGGTTGGGACGGTTTCCTGCTCTCACAGTTTCACTACTAATTCATGTAAATCATCAACAACAGCAGAGCTCCGAGTTTGAAGAGGGCTGGATGAAGATCATCTGGTCCCGCGGCTTTGTTCAACTTCAACAGTCCGATCTCACGTTCGACTTCTGAGCGAGAGGAGGATCCAAAGGTACAGCCCACGGCGCAGGAACATCAATGGTCGGCGAGGAATCGAACGATTCCGGCCGATTAAATTGCTTTTCGAAATGCTCAGCCCACCGCTCCAAACGCTTTGACAAATTGTGGATAAGCTGTCCAGTCTCGTCACAAATTGTTTCACTAACACCAGGTCTCCTGCTGCCCGTTTCCCGTATCAGACGGAATAACTTACGATGGTTGCAAAGGGCAGCGGCCACTTCCATCTCTGAGGCACGAAGAGACCACTAAGATTCGCGATCTGTCTTCAGGCTAGCACGGAGTTTTGCCCGGAGCTCCTTGTGAGTTTCACTGTGTTCGCTTCCAGCCGGAATATGCCGGCGAGCATCGATCAGTTCCAGAGACCGCGAAATGACCCAATGTCCATGTTGGCTGTTTGGCTTACAACATGAGGAGTTGCCTGCTGCTAGTAAGGTCTTGTGCAAATGAGACCTGTGACCTTCCATTGTATACAGGAAGCGCTTACTCAGCCCACATGTCCGCGTATTTCGATACGCATTCAGAGCAGCTGGCTTCGTTAGTTGACTGGTGTCAATACGCTTACAGCGTCGTCGTAAGCGTCCGCCAAAACATATCCACATTTCAGCAAATATAAGTGCATAATCGGTGTT